GGGGGGGGGGGTTCTGGAATAGCGCTGTGCCTGATGTTTTCTACCCGATTTTACAGGGCCTTTTCCAAGTTTGAATTTGATGATGTACGGAAGCTGGCTGCTGAGTTGTGTGGGCGCATTCATCCCCAGGTATACCACTACAGTTTTACCTGATCTAGATTGTTATCAAGATGTACAATTGCTTAAATATGCGGATGATGTTTTCTTTAATATCTTCTATTGCATGATGCTTGATATTAGACAAGGAGTTCTGAACATATGTATCCCTGATTCTGTTGGTTTTAGTTAAACAGTAAGCATTCTCCAAAGTATGACATTTGTAGCTACTCTTGACTATTCCACCTTCATTCTTTACAGTGTCATATATTTCTGAAGGCAGAGGGCACATTTTGAATATGACATGTACATGAGGCTACTAGCCTTGATTGAAAAGCGTAGTTCTGATCAATTATGGAGTACATTTATTTACGTTCTAGGATCTATTATATAATTCCTTGGAAATCTATCTTTCTTAATTTCACCTTTCATTTCATTATCTTTTTGGGAATGTTGTGGCTGAGCACTTACTTTTTTCTTCTGTTTGAGTACTGGTTCAGAATGCTAAAAGGATTGTCGTTTTAAATACTGTGATTCTACATAACATTATTTTATGGTCTCATCCCTGCATAGAACTTCAAAAAGGTTCTATTTGAAGCCATGGGTTTGAATTCATCTAAAACTATAGATTCCTTCATTCATTTCACTGAAAGTATGAAATTACAAAAGTAGGTATTCTCAGTGCCAAAGGAATTACAAAAAAAAAACTTTTCCAATGGACTATGAGAGAAGTGAGACTATAATTGTGAGATCCCACATCGATTGGAGAGGGGAATGAAACATTCCTTATGAGGGTGTGGAAACCTCTCACTAGCAGACACGTTTTAAACCTTGAGGGGAAGCCTGGAAGGGAAATGCTAAAGAGGAGAATATCTGCCAGCGGTAGACTTGGACTGTTACAAATGGTATCAGAGCCAGACACCGGGCAGTGTGCTAGCGAGGATGTTGGACCCCCAAGGAGGGTGGATTGTGAGATCCCACATCGATTGGAGAGGGGAACGAAACATTCCTTATAAGGGTGTGGAAACCTTTTCATAACAGGCACGTTTTAAAACCTTGAGGGGAAGCCCAGAAAGGAAAGACCAAAGAGAACAATATCTACTAGTGGTGGACTTGGGTTGTTACAAATGGTATCAAAGCCAGACACCGGGCAGTGTGCCAGCGAGGACGTTGGACCCCCAAGGAGGGTGGATTGTGAGATCCCACATCGGTTGGAGAGGGGAATGAAACATTTCTTATAGGGTGTGGAAACCTCTCTCTAGCAGACGCAAAAACCGTGAGAGGAAGCCTGGAAGGGAAAGCTCAAAAAGGATAATATCTACTAGCGGTGGGCTTGGGCTGTTACAATAATTATGAAATTAAGGAGTGAATATAACAAGAGAGCAAAGAAAGATACGTTTTACCGAGAACAATAAAAGAAAAACTGTGAATTGGTCTTCAAATGTGCTGACAATTTTTTTCCCACCAAATAAACCCAATGAAAGCACGGATGAAATTTAACCACGTGATTTCTTTTTCCTTGCAAAACGGGTGACCAATCAGTAATGATTCCAGTAGTATCTATGGGTCACCTGGGAGGGCAGTGGACCAATAAAAAGTCAGTAGGATGTTCTTCTGGAAAACCTCTGCAAATGGACAACAATGGAGAAGATTCTGGATGGATTCTGCATCTTCACGACAGAGGATACACCAACTTGGAGAGATGGACAATGAAGGAGCTTTCCTCTGATGGACATCATTGGGTTTAATGCATCCATCACAGCTCCCATATGAAAAGTTCAATCTTCTTAGGGTATTTTCCCCCTCCAAAGATAAGTGCATAGGATCTGTAAGATTGAGCCCCTCTGGATGTAATGTTAATGCTAATGGATTTGGTTGTGAAAGTTCCTCTAGGATCAATCTTCATAACACCTCTTAAATTCAATGACACTCCGGGGACTATTAGAGTGTTATTTTGAGCATATTTGGTGAAGAAGTTGGTGAAGGATGATGGACGGTTTGATATTCAAGAAACATCCTTCGAGTAGCTAGAAAATTACCAAATTTCCAGCAACTGGATTTTTTATTATTATTATTTCTACTGGGTTGTTACAGCCTCAGACCCAAATTCCAGCAAGCAATGTCGTGGTTCCAAAGGTCTGTGATGGCCCCTTTCTTTCTGAGAGCGTGGAAATAGTCTAGGGAAGGATTCCGTCAATTCCCAGCCCTCCTATTATAGGAAATTGCACATTTTCCTTTCGGAGGGAATGCAATCCTTTCCTGTCATTTGCTACATTCCACAGAAAATTACAGAGAAGCTTCTCCAGGGTTGGCAAATAGATATATTAGGTAGGTGAGTTCGTGAGTGGATCGTATGAGCGTTACGCAGGTGCCCTTAGATAATACGAACATGATGTTTTTGCTATCTAATGTATAAGTCAATTATGTTCTAATTTTCCTGACATCCTTGTTTTCTCTAGGTGCTTTATCCTTATGTTAGCTTGGTACTAGAAGATGCAGTGGGTTCTCACAATATACCAGGAATAAAAGCCTGCCTTTTTTCGATGTGCACGTCCCTTGCGGTAATTAATTTTCTGTCAACATTATCATGTCCATGGAAACCTGCTGTTTTGCATTACGACCTTGCATATTCTCATCTATTTGAACAACAGCTACTGAATACAATTTCTCTTGGTTTATAGGTAAGAGGCGAGCATATGTCTTCACATTTCGACATATTTGAAATTGTGAAAACCTTGGAAGTAGTTCTATCATGGCCGTCTCAGGATGGGGATGAAGGTATGTTGACATATTATCTGGATTTATCTTCTTCGTTACTCTACAGTATCCTGGTCTCTGATTTATTATTATTTTTTAATTTATGTATCAGTTTCCAAATCACAACATGGGTGCATTGATTGCATGGCTTTGATGATATGTGCTGAACTACAAGCTCCGAACACTTGCAGCACCTCCAATTTGGAAAAAATTGACCTTGATAAGAAGAAAGGTGACTGATTTTCCAATGTAAAGTATATTATATATTAGTTCTTGTGGATTTCTGACCTTACGAGCTGAACGTACAGGGCATGCCTCCGTAAAAGGTTCGATTCTGGGTTATGTGATCCATCAATTAATAGATGGTAGAAAGGAACTAGTTTCAACCTATGATTTGGACCAGAAGTACAACACAGCCGACAATTCTACTCCTGTATCCTTTCGCCTCTGCATGGCAAATGTGCTCATCAGTGCCTGCCAAAAGCTTTCAGATTTGAGGAAGAAACGATTTGCTAGAAAAGTTCTTCCACGTCTCGTTTCTTTTGCCAAGGTTACTTCATTATCTGGTTTGATTGATTTTTTGTGTTTCCATGTTCATTTTTTTGGGATTCTCATGAGGGTGTCAAATGTTGTAGGTAACAAGTACACAGGTAGATATTAGAGCTGCATGTATTGGAGTCATCTTTTCAGCCGTATATCATCTGAAGTCAGCTATTCTACCTTATGCTAATGATATTTTCAGAGTCTCAGTAAACGCTCTGAAAAGTGGGCAAGAAAAGGTATAGAATTAGACGTAAATGAGAGATGATGCATAGTAGTTTCAGTAAATGCTGTTTTTATTCTATTCATCATAATCATATCACCAGACTTTCGGCTGTTTTTTTTATTTTTCCCCCCTTTTTTTATAAGAAACGTAATATTCCTTAATAGATGTTGAAAGAACAACATAGATGTCTGGGGTAGATATAACCTAACCCCATCCAAAGCAAGGCTAAAGGAATACTATAGAAGGAGAGGTTTCTAATGATTAACAATCATTAGAAGACTTTAGTTATAAAAGATTCTCCGTGAGATCCCACATCGGTTGGGGAGGAGAATGAAGCATTCTTTATAAGGGTGTGGAAACACCTCCCTAGTAGACGTGTTTTAAAACCCGTGAGGCTGACGGCGATACGTAATGAGCCAAAACAGAAAATATTTTCTATCGCTTGGGCTGTTACAGTTGGTATCAGTGCCAGATATCGTGGTGTGCAGCGAGGACGCTGAGCCTCAAATGGGGGTGGACACCAGACGGTGTGCTAGCGAGAACACTGGGCTTTGAAGGAGGGGTGAATTGTGAGATCCCACATTGATGGGAGAGGGAAACAAGTGCCAGTGAGGATGCTGGGCCATTATGGACGGTGGATTGTGAGATACCACATCGGTTGGGGAGGAGAACGAAACATTCTTTACAAGGATGTGGAAAATCTCTCCCTAGCAGACATATTTTAAAAACCGTAAGGCTAACGGCGATACGTAATGGGTAAAAGCAGACAATATCGGCTAACGGTGGGCTTTGACTGTTACAGTTGGTATTAGTGCCAGACATTGGGTGGTGTGTCAACAAGGACGTTGAGCCCTGAAGGGAGGTGGATTGGGAGATCTCACATCAATTGGAGAAGGGAACGAGTGCTAGCAAAGTTGCTGGACCCTGAAGGGGGGTGGATTGTGAAATCTTACATCGGTTGGGGAGGATAACGAAACATTCTTTATAAGGGTGTGGAAACCTCTCCCTAGCATACGCATTTTAAAAACTGTGAGGCTGACGTCGATACGTAATGGGCTAAATCAGACAATATCTGGTAGCGGTGGGTTTGAACGGTTACATTCTCGGCGGCTGATTATTTGTTCTGCTAAGGATAGAGATTGTATTTTAATATGTGGTTGCTTTTATACTCTGTTCATCAGGAAAGGATAGCTGGTGCTAAGCTGATGGTATCCCTCATGTCAAGTGAAGATCCAATTTTGGACTGTATTTCTGGAGAACTACTAGAAGCAAGAGATGTGCTGTCGAGTGTATCTTCTTTAGATCCTTCAATTGAGGTCCAACAAATTTGCCAGAAAATGCTCCAATGTTTGCTTTCTCCTTGAGTTCGTATGCGTTGTTCATCTTTCCCATGTGGCGATAAGAATATGTTTAAATGGGATTATTGTAAATTCTTATGAAATTAGCATTATTTTGTTTGATGTTTTTAATATATATAAAAGAATTGATTTTGGTGTGAAAATTTGAATCCTTAAATCTCGGAGGTCTTCGGAGTTGAAGACCTGTCTTAGTTAGATGAGTTATATTCGAGTTGATCATTATTTTAAATTAGAAACATTAGCACGTTTAAATACTAAATATGATAAATAATATAATGTTCGTAATTCTTAAAAATGTCTCCTCTAATTGTCTCGATGTAATTTTAGGTTTAGTTTTAGATCCGTAATCTACCAATGGTGGATATACCGACATACTAGTTACTATGTTTCTTAATAGAATTGACATGATTTTGAAGCCATTCGATATTTTTCCCATTTTTTTGTTCATACCAAACTTGTTAGAGAGGTAATGTATGTATGCTCGAAGATATCTCTAAATGGTTTTTTGGACCATGGATGCCAACAATGGATGCCAAAACTCATTCATCATGCACTTTGAAATATAATTTATATGGATCGAGGGAATTAATTCAAAATTTCAGATTGGTTGGGTTGGTAACTTGAACAATTCAAAATAGAATTCACAATTCAGTCCAATCTAACACTCGAATTAGGTTGAGTTTTTTTTTTAATTATTTAAGAAAATCTAGTAGAATACGTGTTACATTAATAATTAAATCTCATAAAATTTAAATATAAAAAATTCACAAGTTACAACATATCACAAACATCCGTTACATAAATGTCTAATATTCTTATTACATCTTTAATCTTTAACATCCTTTTAAAGCACGTAGGGCTGTGTTGGGTTGTAATCTCGCTTTTGGGTTGACCTAACCAAAAAAATGTCAAAAAGTCAACACAACTCAAACCAAACCGAAAAAAAAAAAAAAAAAAAAAAAAAAATCTAATCTAACTCAATTTTTATTATTTCGATTGAATAGTCCAAATTCGTTAAGTTCTCATGTCATATGAAAACCCTTAGGAATTAATAATCGAAGTTGGATTTTATAGATATATTTGAGAGAATTAATGCTAAATTTAAAGTTAATCCTATTAATTAACCTCGAGACTATTATTTATTTATTTTTTTCTTTCCTTCGATTTTTTTTTTTTAAGATCAATAATATAGGGAACGAGAATTTGAACGTTTGACTTTTGGTTGAAAATATTATTTAAGAGAAAAGGCAAAATATTTGCTCTAATAAGAATTAAAATATTATAAATGATGAGCTTCACTCCACCAAACGCTACTTAATTACAATTTCTCCATTGTCCTCTTTTCAAACAAAACCAGAGCAAGAAATCCCTTCCAGTGGGCTCTCATTCCTTCAATTTTCCCACCGTTTTCAATTCGGATAAACAATAGTTCATCCTTCATCTTCGATCTTCACTTGCAATCCTTCGCTCGAAGTTCCGTCAATTTTTGTAGTTTTTTCTCTTTTTCTTCTTTTAATCTCTGATCCAAGGAAAGCTCCAATGCTTCAGCTGTTCTTCGCCGTCGCTTTCTCGGCAGCGCCATTGACGTTCTATGTGCCGCCGATTCGGAGCCTAAATCTGTTCGTCGAAACTCTGGAAGATCTTTTCCGTCATACAGCCACTCATACGCACAGAGCTTATCCTCGCTTTCGCCTTGCCTTCTCACGCGTCTTCGGCTCTGTATTCCGCGTTTCGTATTCCAGGTAGATTCCGTTTGATTCTTCTTCTAGTCGAGCGGATTATTTGAGGCTTTTGTTTTGCTACTGCTTTTGCTTTTATTTGATTTTGGAGATTCGATCGATTTGCGTTGTTAAATTTGTGTTTAGGATCTTGAATCTTGAATCTGGAATGTTGAATCTCTCTTCGCTGTTGTACATGGAAATGATATTTTGTTTTGGAATCATTCATGATATGGTGGATTTTCGTTTCATTTCGTTCTTACTCTGATTCTGTTTCCGATCCGTTTAAGAGCTTTGGATTGTTTAGACTCTCTTGTTTTGTTTTTCCTTTCCTTTTCTTGCAATTAGGTCATCTGGATGCAATTTGTTGAGCAGATTTATGAAATCGATTGAAATTTGTGCATCTTTGCTTCGTTAACTCGCGCTTTTCAGCCTTACCAAACCGCATGAGGCAAGAACACGTTCCTTTCCAACTTTTTTTTTTTTTTCTTTCCACTCAAATCGTAATTATTTTTATATAGTTTTGGAAGATTATTTAAAATTAAAATTAAATTGATAAAAAAAAAAAATAAAAGAAAAAGGTTTGGATCTCATTTGAGTTTGAGCTCTTAAATTTTAGTGTTTGAATTTTCAAATATCTTTTTTTCTTCTTCAATATTTCAAAAAAAAAAAAAAAAATAAATATATATATATATATATATATAATACTTATTTTGGATAATGTTATAATATTCATCAAATCCAATATTCTGTTGCTACTTGTCTATATTGAAATTATTTTTAAATCTTATGAATTAAAAATTTATTTCTTTTAGAAACTTCCAGATAGGATTTAAAGATATGACAAAATATTGATTAAAATATTATTTATCTAGCTTTTGGAAAAAAAAAAAAAAATTATTTAAATAAAATTAATTTTTCTATATAAACGCTTCTGAAATAAATTAATAATTTAAATTTCTTACTATTTAAGAAGATGATCTCTTCCAACATATTTTAAATTATTGAAATATTTTCTTTAAAACTCTGAAAATTTTAAAAAAATATTTTGGTTGATATCAAATTAAAATGTAATGATGGTTTTATATTTAGATTAAAAAAAAAAAAAAGAAATAGGATCGTTACATACACTCTCGAGAATCTGATTATTATTAAACATCAAATCTCAAGTTGAGGTAGAAGCATTTTAAAAATCTGAAATGCTAAAATATTATTATAAGATATTTTTATTAAAAATTAAAAAGTTGTACACTTGACCTATGAGATCACAAATCGAGAGGGAAATGAAACATCGAACGGACAACAATACGTAACAGGCCAAAGAAGACTATCTACTAGCGGTGAGTTTGGGTTGTTATAAATGATATTAGAGTTGAACACCGAGTGGTGTGCCAATGAGAACGTTAAGTCACTAGGGGGGGGTGTACGCTCCAGACGCGTTTTAAAAATCATGAGGCTGACGCACCTCTATTCTCCTTTCATCTAGAGCTACCCTTACTTGAGCTCATCATGCTATACTCACGGGGAAGGAAAAACGAACAGGTTACGCTTTATTAGCTACCGTTTCACTAGCTCTAGTATTCAAAGGCTTTCAAGGAATGAAATATTATCAAACACCCTTCACTATTTCGTATAGTATTTATAGTTATACCTTTCTCTTTTCTTGATCATATGTGGTATTAGTCAATATCTTGGTCATCTGACCTTAGCTTTGAAGCAGCTACATGATACTAACATTTTGTAAACATGGTTCAGATCATCGATCTCTTCTTTCAAGATTGAGATAAGTTGATGTCGAATTCCAAAAACCAACAAGAGGCCGTAACGAACACTAGCCTAGTGTTGAAAACAATTTATTGCAAAGATTTTCGTCACATGGGCTTGTTATTAAAGTTTTTATTAATTCCTTAGCACTTTTTGAAAAAGTGCACTCTCAAAAGTTCTTATGGGTTCTTATCATCTTAACTACACATTAATGTAGAGATTGAAACATTTTGCCTACTCCAACCCTAACATGGCTTGCATTTAAGAAAGGTGGGACAAATAAATTGTTTAAATTCCTATGAATTCAATGAAATTATTATACTCCAAAAATAAATAAAATAAATAAATAAATAAATAATTGGGTTTCTTAATATTGATATTGACATAAATTATTCTCCTTGCAAAATTTCAAAGAAAAAGATAAGAACACTATTGTATAATTGTGGCTAATAATCTTCCAACACCTTAATTTTGAAGCAATTAATGGCCTACCAACTTTCCTCTTTAAAGTATAATGCTATAAGCTTTGAATTATTATTAGTTTTTTTTTTTGTTTTTTTTTATAATTTTCCAATAATTCTAATTTTATAAAGTTTATTGGATGGATTAATTAAACTTGAACAATAGAAAGTAAAAATTGTAATAGACAGATTTACCTTATATGTCACGGAAGCACGTGAAGTATCAAACATACATGTATTAGCTTGGTAATGGTAAGAACAACAAACTTGTATTCGACAAGAGTCTTATTTTTTTATGGTAGAAAGAGGAAATTGGCTCGACAAATGGGTAGGGATCAAGACACAATTGGGCACTGTGAGATCTGATATTGGTTGGAGAGAAGAACAAAACATTGCTTAGAAGGATGTGAAAGTTTCTCTCTAGTAGATGCGTTTTAAAACGTGAGACTGATGACAATACGTTATAGGCCGAAGCAGACAATATTTACTAACAATGGATTTTGTCTATTACTGTTAAGAAATAGAAATAGAAAATAGAATTGGAGAAGTGTATGATCTTCATTCAGGTTTACCACGTTTAAATAGATACAAACTATTAACTAATACCTAAAAATAGAAAAAAATAATATATCTAACTAAATCTTGTAAATAAATAAAATATACGATTAATCAAATTTATACTAACAACTCCCTAAATATCTCAGATATATTCTAACTAATATATCTCCAAAATATCCTCTTAATACTCCCCTCAAGTTGGAGAGTGTATGTCGATCACACCCAACTTGTCCTTCAAAAGGTCAAATTGCTGTCTTCCCAGAGCTTTAGTAAAAACATCTGTCAATTGCATTTTGGTCGAAATATAACACGGTTTGATGATTCCAGCTTGTAACTTTTCTCGAACTATATGACAATCTATTTCAATGTGTTTCGTACGTTCGTGAAAAACTGGATTGGCTGCTATATGTAATGCTGCTTGATTATCACAATATAATAATGCTGGTTCGGACAGTGAAACATTCAAGTCTTGAAGAATGTATCTTAACCAAGTTAACTCTAAACAAGTATTTGCCATAGCTCGATACTCGGCTTCTGCTGATGATCTGGACACATTAGCTCTGATACCATGTTAGACGAACACGACTCTCCATAATGGTATGATATTGTCCACTTTGAGCATAAGCTCTCATGGCTTTGCTT